GCAGTCATTTCTTTTTGAATGCCTGTTTGTCTCCTTATTAGATTTGCAAAGGAATTGCTCATTGCAGTTTGTTCAAAAGGCAAAGAACTTTTAATTTCAACATAAGTTTCTTCATATCTAAGACAACGTTCAGTGTATAAACTGCTTTCAAGGATTTTAAAGTGGCTTGTTTGCTCTTAAAGGTAGCTTTTTATCTGATCTGAGTTCTCAAGAGGCAAGATTAAGCTTTCTAGCATTGCTTTGAGAAGAAACTTCATTCTGAGCTGAAAAGTTTTTGAACAGTATCACCATCTTTAGCTGAAATACTACGTTTCCCAGAATGCATTTCCCTTATATCAGTCCCTTATTGCAAGCTAGCTTTTGGACTTCATTTCCCATAGTTCTTTTTGGGTCTGAGAGTCAACTTCTAAGTTCTTTTTTATCAGACTTGCTTACAACTTCTTGCCTGGGAGGTTTGAACAAAGTTTTTTGCTTTTGCAATGGAAGATTTGAACAAGCATTTTACATTTTCAGCTATGGCACATTGGGAGATTACTCTCTCCTCAGCTGGCGTCAACAGGTGTCTCTCCTTCATTTGACACTGGCCCCCAAATCAGAACTGTACCTGCCTCGTTAGCGCGCATTGAGGTGGGCAATTTCTGATAGCAACTTTCCTCGGGGCTTGTGTTTGTCTTAGCCAGTCAGTGAAAAACAAGATCATTTACAACAGCTTTTCCATAGCTCCTTCAGAGATTTTTCTCCCACTGATCTCATTTTGCTTGTTCCTCCCCCCCCCCCCCCCCCCAGATGCAGAGCTTCAGGTATCTGTCTGTGGCTCTGTTCCTCTGCTAGCTGCTTTTGGAGGTAGGGGCTTTTTTTCTCCCCCCGAATCTTCCTCAAATTCTAGCAGCTTTTCACAGGCCATGTATTTTCTGGGGAGGAATATGTCCCTTCTGTTTCTTGGGAGTCTTTTTCCCAGATAGTTCCCAGTTTGGTCTCAGTTTATCCCCCCTCTACCCCAGAAACAGTTTGACACTACAGTGGTGACTTTCCCTGCTACTGAAGGTAGGGGTTTTTTGTCCGTTTCTGTTTTCAGGGTCTGTGTGGTTTGAGTACAGACTGAAAATTTAACAAGGGAGGTTTTTGCCATCTCTAAACTCCCATTAGGACAGGTGTTTTTTCCCTCAGGCCTTCACCTGGCCCAGTCCCCCAGTGGGTTGTGTTTGCTTGTCTGGGTGCTCAAGGACAGAGCTTATGCCAGAGGCAATCACCCCTTCCGGCTACACTCCCTCTTCTCACCCGAGTCAGTTGAAACAAAGCTTTTCTCAAAGAGGTGCTTTCTCTGACAGAAAAGAAAGCTTTACTCCTGGATAGTTCTGTTCTGCCCTGGCTGGGCTCTTTCCCCAGACAGCATTCTGACTCAGCAACACAACTGCTTCAGACACAGTTCAGCTTTACTGTTTTCCCAGAAAGGTCCTTACTCTGATAGGAAAGCTTTTTCTCAGATTTTTTTCAGCTGTGGACCTATCAACCCGGGACTTGTAGGAAAGTGGACAACTGTGCCGTTCCCACTGGCTTTAGCTTTGGTTGTTCATTAGCAATCTTCTCCTGGGTCCTGCACCTTCCTGCCTCAGCTCTGTGCTCCAGGAAGTTTACAACTGCAGGAACCCTAGTATCCCCGAAATGCACTCCAACTCAGAGACTCTGGCCAGTCGCCTCTGGGTTTTTGGTCAGAAGCAATAATACAATGCTTCAGGGGATCTTTGTGTTAGGAAGATTAGAAGCACTTTTTCATTCTGAAATGCTCACTCAGAAACAAAACCCTTGTTGCCTCAGCTGGGCATAACTGAAAAGCTTGGCTTTTTTTTTTTTTTTTTTTTTTTTTTTTGCTTTTCTCAGGTAAGGTTTCCTGCCCTTTTGGGCTCTCTGTAGCTCTTTACCCACACTCTCCCAAGCGTTTCCCTCAGGGTACTCTGACCCACTGTCTTTTACCAGCTTGAAGAAACAGCTTAGAAGAGGTTTTTAGGAACTTGTCCCTGCCTCCTGCATTGCAGGGAGGATTTTTAAAGCTTGAAAGACAGAACTTAGAGGTTTTGCTGTCTTAAGAGGTTTGTTTTCCCTTAGAGCTAATCACAGTTGGTCCCCATACTAATATCTTCAGGTGATTCTAATTTTTGTCCTTTTGAGAGAGAAAGTTTAAGGCTTTAGTTTTTAAGTTTGAGAGCTTTTAGTTTGAGAAAGATTAAGGCTTTTTAGAGATTTTTCCCCCAAATTTTCCAAGAAAAGCTTTTAGTTTAAGAGAAAGATTTTTTTCCCCCAAGAGAAAGACCAACTTTTCCCAAAACTTCCCAACTTTAAACTTTTTGGCTTCTTACACCCCCATTTTTGCCTCAGGGAGAAATCACTTTCTCCTGCCGCTTGGACTTAGCATTTCAGCTGTCTCCAGGTCAAAAGCTTCCATAGGAAACTTTTTCTTCCCCATAAGCTCAGAGAAGAGCTTTACTACTACCCATAAAGCCCAAAGAAAGATTTTCCCCCCAGTTTGCATTCATAGCCCCCAAAGTTAGAAAATTGAAGAGTTTTTCTGTCTAGTTGCCTTACTTATTTTTTCCTACACAATCTTACACTTCTAAGTTTTTCCTAAACTATTACTACGCTACACCTTATACTTATTTTTCACAGATAGAAATTGAGAAAGGGATAGAAGATAGGAAGTTTTGACAGAAGAGAATTTCGCTGCAGCATCGGACATCCTTCCAGTCCGTTTTCCTTTTCTCTCGAGGATAAAACCCCTGCCTCTCAATATATATAAAAAATATATATTTTCCATAACACCGGCATGCCTTATCCACTGGCAGGGCTGACTCAGCACTTTCGCCAAAAACTGTGTAATAAAACTATTGTTTTCCTTTATCTTTAGTCCCTATTACTTTGTCTTTAGTTCCTGTTCATTTGTCTTTAGTCCCCCCTATTTTTAGTCCCTCTTTTAGTCCCCTCTTTTTTTTTCTTTAGTCCCTTTTTTTTTTTCCTTTGGTCCCTGTTCATGGCGCCATTCTGTGGGGCGTTTACCCAACCCACAGTTCCCCAGTGTTTTCTTGAGTGCGAGCAACAGGAAATATTAGATAGAAGGATTTATTGCGGAGAATATCGCGGAGATAAACAGATAGAAAATAAAGGATAGCCTCAAGAGGGCCTGGAACCTATTCCAACGGGCCCCGACTGTCTCTGCCCCAGGGTTTTTATAGAGACGCCAAGGGGTGGAGCAAAAGACCTCCTCCCCCAGCACAGCCAAGTGCAGACCATCTCAGACACCTGCACTCAGGCCCGTGGTCCTAATCATCCTCTATGCGGACCTGCTGGGTAAAGCCACAAGGAACCCGAGAACGGGCTCCCACATGAAACTTTTGTAGATACTTGATTTATTAGGTGATCTAATTGAGAGCTAGAATAATACTATCAATAAAATAAAATTTCAGCCGCGCGGTGGTGGCGCACGCCTTTAATCCCAGCACTCGGAAGGCAGAGCCAGGCGGATCTCTGTGAGTTCGAGGCCAGCCTGGTCTACAAAGTGAGTTCCAAGGAAAGGCGCAAAGCTACACAGAGAAACCCTGTCTCGAAAAACAAAAAATAAAATAAAATAAAATAAAATAAAATTTCAAAGTAGTATGTTATTCAAATTTTCACTATATATATTTTAACAGTTTTTATTTTAATAAAAATTTTCATGCAATTTTGATTATATTTCCTCTTCCCCAGATAGTCCCAAGATCCTTTCCACCTTCCTACCCACCCAACTCATGTTCTTTCTCTCTCAAAAAAAAAAGAAAAAAGGAAATTAAAATTTAAAAAAACAGTAAGACAAAAAATAATGAAACAAAATGAAACAAAAATCCCCCCTACATGCACACAAACATGGAGTCTGTTTTGTGCTGGCCAGCTACTCTTGGGCATGGAACCTGCCCTGGAGTGTGTTTGTATACCCAGTGATACTCCATTGAAGGATACTGATTTTTCTCTTCCCTAGCAGGTTTCACGTGTAAATAGCTTCTTAGTTAGAAGTGGAACTTTGTGTCCACTTCCCCTTCTGGAGTTTTGTGTAGTTTGAACCTGTGCAGGTTTTATAGGTGCTGTCACAGTCTCTGTGAGTAAGTTCGTATGTACATCAGTTCTGTTGTTTTTGGAAGATACTGTTTCCTTGGTGTCATCTACCACATCTGGCTTTTACAATCTTTCCTCCTTCTCTTTAGAATAGATCCCTGAGCCTTGAGGAGAAGGGCTTGACAAAGGCATCCCATTTAGAATGAGTCCTCCAAAGTATCTCATTCTTTGCACACTGTTCAGTTGTGGGTCTCTGTATCAGTTCCCATCTACTGTAAGAAGAAGCGTCTCTGATGAGGGTTGAGCAAGGCACTGATCTATGAGTATAGCAATATGTCATTATGAATAATTGTATTGCTGTGTTCCTGTAGCAGAATAATAGTAGGTTGTCCTCTAGTGCCCATGACTTACCTAGTCTCAGGTTCCTGGTCATTTGAGCCACCTCTCAAATGGTCTGGTATGAAATCTACTCATGGAGTGAACCTTAAATCCAATCAGAAAGTAGTTGATTACTCCTAACATTTGTGCCACTATTGTACCAGTATATCTTGCAGGCAGGTTGCTGTTTTAGGTCATAGGTTTTGTACCTGGTTTTTACTGGTGATTACTTTTGCCTTCCAGTAGTATGTAGAGTACCTTCCAGCATCATGAACGCTAGTCAGTAGGGGTTAAACTTCTAGTTGAGCGCTAGCTCAATTTTTCATTGTTCGGTGGCATAAGTAGTATTTTCAATAATAGGACCTCTCCTCTGTATAAATATTGTATTCATTAAATGTGGTGTTCTATAAATCCCTTCTCTCACCTGTAATATATACTAAAAGCAAACTATTACGAAGTTCAAATGAAATTTGAATGAAATAAAATTTATCACCATTTTCTGTGCATTATTTGCCTAGATTTATTTATTCTTTTTCTTTCCTTAGGATCTGAGCAGCAAAGACATGAAGAGAGATTTATACATAGTTGCCCATGTGATCCGAATAGGTATTGTTCACCTTACTTGTTCTCATGATTAACACTGGTCAAACTTAGGAAAAGTATACATCTGAACTTTGTCTTTCCTGCTATTTCAGGTCTCAGGATTAGAATCTAGCTTTTTTATTTGTTTGTTTTGTTTTGTTTTTTGCTTTACCTTTAATCTCAGCTGCTGCAGTAGCTGGAAGCAAATAAATACATGTTTTCCCCATTTCAAATCTTCTGTTCCCTCTTTACTTTTGAACCCACACTTTGTATTTTAAGTGATCTGCTTTTTTATATTCCTCCTGTTAAATTGCCTGCATCTGTATATGTCTTTTTCCTCCAGAGTGCTCACAGAGTTATTTAAATGCCAATTGAACAGGTAGCACATGCCCTTTGTTATAGTTTCTGTCCAAAATTAGGCACCTGTGCCATTTCCCACAAAATTAGAGTTAATGTCACCACTACAGAAGATGAGTAACCTCTCATTTCTACTCAAACTGAGATGAAAGAAAGTGACTTTTCTCTACTGTTCCATTGTTGGATTGTCCATACATATTTTAGTGATATAACTAATCAAGTTTTCCTTTATAGTTTCAATTCTAGAATGTGGTGTATAATTTTGTCAAAAATATGTTTACTCCTTTGACAATATAACAACTATTTTGCCCTACTTCATATAGCATTTGTTGAAATTGCAGCTTTTGCAAGTGCTTGTATCACTATTGGCACAGCCTTACTCACTTGGAGGAATAAGCAGCCACCCATAACTAAGATTTCTCTCACTCCCACAGTGGCTCATCAGCACCTTTGGCATTAGAATTTGGTTAGAGGAAGAACACAATGTCCTCTTTACCTGTGAATATATGGTTTATGAGTGCAGCTAAAAATACTGAACTTTTATAATTAAATGGCCATCAAATTTAAATCTTATCAGCACGCTGATTTTTTTTAAAGAAATTCATCAAGTCATCCTTATTTTCATTTAATTAATAAATGTACTGTTGGGGTTAATTGACCAAATGTGACACATTTGGTGTGACACAGAAAAAAGGCTTTGGCCAGAGGCTAATTTGGTGTTCTCCTCCAAGATATCCTTAGATGACTCGTGTTAGCTCTTTATTGTTCTTAGAGGATTGTTTAGGTACCTGTAGCTTTGGTGTCACTGGATGATAATTAGAAGGTGCTAGAAGAGGCGCATTGGAGTTCTTTGTCTGATTGGTGTTTTTTGCTATTCCCAAGGCCGGATGCTCCTGAATGACTCCAAAAAGGGTCCTGCTCACCTGCATTACAGGCGACCATATGGCTGTGCAGTATTAAGCATTTTGGATGTTCTGCAGTCACTTACAGAATTAAAAGAAGAAAAGGATTTTGTTCTTAAAGTTTACACGTGAGTAATAATGCCTATCAGGAATAATGATGATTTGTAGCATGCCCTGAGAGCAACAGTTCTCAAGCCTTATGAACATAGACTGACCATAATGCAGCATAGGGAAGTTGGTGGAAATGCAAAGACTTTGATCTAAGGTTTTAAAGGCTTAGGCATTTTTATTTATTTATTTATTTATTTTGGTTTTTCGAGACAGGGTTTCTCTGTGTAGCTTTGCGCCTTTCCTGGGACTCACTTGGTAGCCCAGGCTGGCCTCGAACTCACAGAGATCCGCCTGGCTCTGCCTCCCGAGTGCTGGGATTAAAGGCGTGCGCCACCACCGCCCGGCTGGCATTTTTATTTTTAATAAATTTCCTAGGTACCAAAACATCTGAATTTAGGACCTTCTATCCTAAAGTAAAAATCTGATAGTATACATTTCTTGTTCACACTATAATAGTCATTTCCTCTGTAGAACAAGCCAACTTTATTATATATTTTCAGAAAAGGTAATAATATAATTTCTCATGTATCTTAGATACAAAATTCTGTATTTAGTGCTTGTCCAACAGTTACTGCTGCTGAGCTAGCCAAGAATTCAGTTTACTTAAAAGAATTATGAATCAGGTTACGATGTATTTCAAGAAAAAAGTCAAAAGTTTTGAGGAGCCAAGATTTTATTCTTTTCTTCTGCTACCACAGATATCTTATGCCACATCTGGCATGGCATGGAACCACTTTTTGTATTCTTCAACCAGGGGATCTGCCGTATAGATGCATTTCATCTCTTCATGGTCCTTGTTCAACAGTAGGAAAGAGAAAAGGAACTGATAAAAGAAACAGAACATGGCTGTATAGTCTGTCTTTGCTTATAGGGAATCCATAAATAAATACTTGCCTTAAAAATGATTAGTGGTGGCTGGGCGGTGGTGGCGCACGCCTTTAATCCCAGCACTCAGGAGGCAGAGGCAGGCGGATCTCTGTGAGTTCGAGGCCAGCCTGGACTACCAAGTGAGTTCCAGGACAGGCTCCAAAGCTACACAGAGAAACCCTGTCTCGAAAAACCAAAAAAAAAAAAAAAAAAAAAAAAAAAAAAAAGAGAGAGAGAGAGAGAGAGAGAGAAATGATTAGTGGTGAATTTAGCGAGTTTTTGCTTTTGAGACATTCAGTAGTTCCAGCTGGCCTAGAATTCACTGTGCATCCCATGCTGGCCTCTCGCTCATGATGATCCTCCTATTTCAGCTTCCTGCATTCTGGGATTGCAGTCATGAGTGACTATGCCCAGCTTTAATGAGTTTTTAATAACTAGTGTATCTCTGATAATTGTTAATATTTATCTTATTTTATGTGTATGAATGCGTTGCCTGCATATATGTAAGTATACCATAGTATGCCTGGTGTTTGCAGAGGTCAGAAGAGGGCTTTGGATCCCCTGGAATTGGAGTTATGGATGGTTGTAAGCCACCATGTGGTTGCTGAGAATCAAACCCAGGTCCTTTACAAGAATAGCCAGTGCTCTTAACTGCAGGCCCTATTTCTGATAATTTTTTGCTAGAAACTAGTCCTCTGTTAGCTTTAACATAGTACCATTTTCCAAAATTAAGTCAAATACTATCAGTCATTGTATTAATACAGTTTTAACATAATATTGCATGTACATTTTCCTGTATTATCTGTTCTGTCTGGTTCAGATGTGGAATGAGCTTAATTTACAGTTACACTTAATTTAGGACTTTCTATAATCAAGTACATTTGATGAATTTCAAAATAAAAGTCCAGACATATTTTTATGTATTTTTCTTCAGCTCTGTTTGGTTGAGATGTAGAATTTATGGGTGAAGAGCTTTCATGGTAGTAGTCATTTACAATGAAAAGATTGTCTCACTTCTTCTTTAGTGTATGAGTTAGAGTTTCTAAAAATACTGTTTCCTCTTTGATGAGGGGTAAAGCCTGCTTCTTCATATACTTTCCCTTCAAAAGGAGTAAACAGAAATCCAAAGATCATTGTTCTCATCTTACCCCATTAAATTCTTTCCATTGGCAAAGGGCTGAAGGGTAGTACAAAGGTGGTGTATCTATGTAGCAGCTAATCCTTGCTTTCGAGCAAAATCTCATTGCAGATAAAAGGAACTTCTTGCACTACTTCGCTTCTGAAATCTTGTTAGGCTTATTTGCCTAATTGCCCCTAAACGACTGCTTTTAGTACCAATGTGCCACTTTACAAGAAGTGGGATTCATGCATAGTATTTTTTTAGCTCTGTCCTACAGGCTGTGTCTGTTCTAACAGTCCAGAGAAAGTTTGTGTTTATAGAAAGGAATAGTTGTTTTTCATTTTGAAGGAGTAACAAAGTTTAAATGTAGGATGACTTTTCCACTTGAAGAGGTTAGTAAGACTTTCAAACAGATTCCCAAATGTAGGTTTGTGAAGTTGATTTTTCATGCAGTTTGGAATCCTTCCTGGATTAATAACTTAAATCCATATCATCTCATTGAACCTAGCTGTCAGAAGCCATATTTTTAGTACCTTTCAGGTAATGTGTTTGTTGGTTCAATTAAATTGTAAACCTAAAGGCTTTACTAATCTCTATTAATAGTGCTTTAGCCTTTGCTAGGATAAAATTTTCTAAGTATGAAAACCTGTTCTACAGACTTAATTGACAAAAATTACCTCTTTAGTTGATGACTTTCTCATTTTTTTTTATTATTCAGAGTCAACTTTTACTAGAGAAGCTTCAAACTTCTGCCTGTCTCTGCCAAGGCCACTACTGTACATCATAGTATTTTTAAATACCATATGTGTGTGTGGCAAGAGACCACATCCTTTTAAGAAAATGGTAACGAAACAGACATGAAAACTAGGTTGTTTGCTAAATCAAATGTCTTAAAACTATAAATAAATAACCATCATATGCATTTCCTTATACTACAAATATAGTATGTCTCATTGCCTAGAGGAACAAAGGGTCACAGCAGGACCAAGCATGTTGTCAGGCTTTAGGAAACTAAAGAAGAGGAGTACCAGGCTAAAGCCAACGTTTGGAAGGGATGAGTATCCATAAGTAATGTATGTGAACAAATACAAGAAGATTTTTGAGTACATGATGACCACTGTCTAATTTCACAATAACAAAAGTTTAAGTAAACATTTATAAAGGGACTTTAATAAAATAAATATTATTGATATATTAAATTCGTAATTTAGATTATATTTTATATTGTTATATAAATATTTATTATAAATTATGTATTATCTCATACTCTGTCAAATTGAGTATTGCTTATTCTCCATTCTCATATTTTATGAAAAAAATTCCATGAATTCATCATATTTAGCCATGCCATCATGGCTTTGTTATCAATAGAGCCACTTTCTGCATTAACTGATAAGATTTTTTAAGGAACATAATTTTTGCTCCCATTGGGCTACTTTTTTATATATCCTGTGATTCCTTAATGATGCTCTGTCACCAGAAATTCATTCTGAAACACAGCTAGTTATTTGTTAATTGAACTGTTATTGGTGGTGGGAGTGGTTGTTTTAAGTCCATGCATGTGAATCTACAATATAGTTACTATCTTTTCTGCTTTTAAAGTGATTTGAGAATGGATATGGATTTTGAATGAGAATAGATGAGAATGAGTGAGAGTTTTAAGTAGACACACATATGCACAAACACTTAACACACAGACACTTAACATACACAAGTGGGATTGCTGAGTCATGTGAGAGCATCAGTTTTAGGGTTTTTTTGATGAACCTCCATACTGGTTTCTGTAACAGCTATACCAATTGACATTTCCACCAAAAATGTATGAAGGTTCCCCTTTTCTGTACACCACCAACACATGTTATCTCTCATGTTTGGATTGTAGACTCTGTAGCCTATATAAACTGATACTTCATGATGGTTTTGGCAACTTTTCATATATCTTCCCACTTGTGTGGGTTTTTTTTTTCATATATGTCTATTTAGGCCCTAGCCAATTTTTTTAATCATTAATGTTTATAAAATATTTTATTTGTGTACATATTTTGTATTCATGTAAATATGTGTAACACATGTGTGCCTGGTGCCTCTGAAGGTCAGAAGAGGGCATAGAATCCAGTTGATTGTGAGTCAGTTTGATTCTGAGAATCAAACTTGGTCCTCTGGAAAAGCAACAACCACTCTTAACTGATGAGTCATTTCTCAAGCCCCTATTATTAATTTTTTAATTAGCATGCAAAATAATGGACTTCATATGACATCCTCATACATACATATTATTTTTTCATCTTCATATTGTTCCTTCATTATACCCCCTTTATCTTTCTTTCCCTCTCCCACGGGTCTCTTTCCCTTCTCCAAAGAGTCCTTTGAATTCATTTATGTCGTGTGTGTGTGTGTGTGTGTGTGTGTGTGTGTGTGTGTGTGTGTGTGCATGAGTGTGCACACCCACCCCACATAATTCCTAATACCTAAAGTACTCTGAGATGATCACATAAAATATCATGTGTTTTTATTAGCAATGTCAATATAGATTTATTTAATTCTCTGTACTCTAAATGAGCTTCAGCATCTTACACATGAGAATATGATCACACTGAAAGGACTGGTATAAGCACAAGACAACCCAAGACCAAGTTCTCAGCACAGTGCTTTCCAGAGGGACAGAGGGCAAGGAATAGGAGACAAAGGCAGGAAACAGAGGACTAGGGAGAAGGGGAAAGGAACAAAAGAGAGGGAATAAGGGTACCCCAAAGGACTGTCTCTTGATAGAGAGGAGACAGACGTGGCTCCTAGGTAAATGGCAGTTTATAAAGGTAAAAATGGAAACACCATGTCAGGATGAGGTGTTTGATTTTGATTGGACAGGGTTAATTAGGTTATCCCAAAGGGGACTTTCGATTGCTGGACTCTAATATTTTGATAGTTGGACCTTGGTAGTCAGCCTCAGTGGGTAGAAGTGCCCAAATAAGGGAATAGACCTTGATGACTAGCTTTAGGAATGCAATCTAATGGGTTTTTGTTTTTGTTTGT